TTTTAAAAAATGTTACATTAATTGAAGATCAAACACAAAACAATTCCAAGGTAGGAAATAATTTAAAAAACACATCAGATTTAAAGATTCAGACAATAATTAATACTAAAAAAAAATTACAAAATAGGTTTAAAGATGTATTATTAAAACCTAATGAAAAAGAGACTGTTATTATAAAAAAAGATGATGAAGATGAAGATAATATTAAAAAAGAAAAAAAACAACACAAATCTACAGATGTAAATAAAATAATTAATCTTAAAAAAGATTTACAAGATAGATTTAGAAATTCAGTTGTAAAACAAACACATGTAATTGAAGAACAAGAAAAAAAGTTTGGACCAATAATAAACGCATTAAAAAATGATAACACAACAATGAATGAAGTTAAAGATGTTGCTATTAAAACTGAAGGAGATATTCAAAAAATTAAATATACCATATTATCAACCAAGAAATCCAGAATTAAAACGATTAATCAGTTCAGAAGAGACTTCTGGAACTCTTGTTTATATAATTGTGTATTTGTGTGTATTGTTATTACTTATTACATACCCGTTTCAAAATTAATATTCATAGTTTCGTTTGAACCCTTTTGGATTTGTTCAAACCATAGAGCCCTCATATGTGAGTCCTTAGGGAATCTATAAATGTGAACATTAGTATTGCTACTTTTAATTTTTTTGCTGCCACTATAGCATCCAACTAATGCACAAACTGGCATAATGACAGTCAAGAACAACAATTTACAAATAAAAACAACAGTGAAAAATTAAAATTTACCAAATACATATAAAAAAAAGTATTATTATTTTATATTTTTATCATTAATTTAACAAAGCATTATGCAATCAAAAACTCATAAAAGGCGCGTTAAATATAAGCCAATCAAATGACGAGGATGACTCCCACCATATTCCGCGTAGACTGAACGAAATTTAGTTTGTTGTGATCATACCTTGTTATTTCGTCATGATATTTACCATCTGTAAAAGAGAATAATTCTTTTGGAATATATTATAATGATAAAGATGATATTCATATGATATTCATATGATTGGAAAAGATAAAATCAATTTTGATAATGATGATATAATTTTAAATGGAAATAAAGGAACTCAAGGTTTGTGGAGATTATTAACTCATGTAGATCCTACCAAACCAGAATTTTATACAGATGATGATTTTAATAATTATAAAAATATATTAATTGAAACTGATTATATATATCATAACAATGATATTTCAACGGGAAGAGCTAAATCAAGTGGTGGTGCAAAATATATAGCAATGATTAGAAAGATTTGGAAAGAAATGAAAGCAATTAATGAAAAGAAAGAAAATAATGAAATATTAGATGAAGATAATCAAATAGGGGAGGGTTTAAAGAAATACACAGAAGATCGTATCGAATGTCGTTATATTAGTAATGTAAACCAAGTGATAGATAATTTACAGTTTATTTCTGCAGAAGAAAGAGCTGGAAATAATAATTTTAAAAACGAAAAACTTGGTATTGTTCATTTGTTTAAATCAATTATGGAAAACCTTATTGATACTCCTGAAGGTATTGAATATTTACTAAAATATGTAACTTGTTTGCAAAAGGAAGTGAAAATATCAAAAGAAAAAATAATTAAACGTATACAGTATATATCAATTGAAGAAAGTATAGGAAATAATATTTACCATGATGAAAAAATTGATATTCTTAATACTTGTATTAGAGAAATGGAAAAATTAATTGATATACCTATTAATGGGGCAGATAATTTATCATCATACGTTTCATGTTTACCAAAGAAAATTATTACAGGTTCAGGAATTGTTAATTATCTTTTGAATTGCTCAAATTTACCTCAAATACATTGGCCTGGTTATAATTATTTAGGACCGGGAACAAAGTTAGAAAAAAATAAAAAACCTAAAAACAAATTAGATGAAGCTGCGAGAGAACATGATTATTTTTATAAAGATAATAAAGATACTAAAACAAGACATATTGCTGATAAATTTCAGAACAAAAAGCAATGGAAAGATTTTATGATCCTCATAGTTCTATAGGTGAAAAAACTGCAGCCATTTTTACAGCAAATGTAATGAATGTTAAACGACAATTTGGAATGAATTTAATTTAATTTAATTTAATTTTTTGTATTATAAAATGATACAATGATACAATAATAAAAAATTATTAGTACAAACACACGTAAAAGGTATTTGTGATTTACCTACAGTGAAAGCGAGTTCGTCCACGGGTTTGCGACAATTTTCAGATGGTTTACGTGGTCATATATCGGCTTTAAGAGCATTGGATCAACGTCCGTCAGAGTGGGGACCATTGTTAACACATATTATATGTACTAAATTAGACGCAGTCACTATAAGCGATTGGGAAAAACAAAGTGCGGTAGAGACGAAATCAAAAAGGTCGACGAATTAATCGAATTTTTAGAAGCACGTTTTCACGTATTAGAAGCAGTTAACTCGTCTAAAAAAATATGCAGGGTCTCGAAAAATGTTAACGAAAATAATAGTTACACAGGCAAAAAAGGTTCAAAAAACACCACATCATCTACTTCATTTGTAAACACCTCGGAAATAAAATGTTACGTATGTCAACTATCGCACACTATATACAAGTGTCCCAAGTTTATCGCACTATCAGCGATAGATCGAATTAAAAAGGTAAACGAGCTTAATTTGTGCAACATTTACCTCCGGCGTCACGACAAAAGGAAATGTTTTGGACGAAATTGTCTCAGGTGTACCAAGCCACATAATACAATGTTACACATAAACAATTACAAAAATCAACAAAATTCAACGAATGAAACATCGGAAGCAAACAATAAAACTGAGGAAGAAGCATCTGCGTTAAACACCATGTCTGCCCACGCATTCGCGTTGGGCGAATAAGTATTATTAGCTACAGTAGTAGCCCTAGCTGTGAGTCCCTACACGAAAACGACAACATGTCGTGCTTTATTAGACTCGGGGTCTCAAAAGAATTTTATAACAGAAGAGATGGTGCAGATACTACGTTTAAAAAGAGATAAAATTAAACACGTAATTAGCGGTATCGGAGAAATAGTACAACATGCATCGTCGGCCGTATGGTTAAAAATAAAATCTCGCGTAAATGATTACGCGGTGTTTCTACCGATGATAGTCGTACCAAAGATTACGGGTCAATTACCTCCGCAAAATATAAAAACAACATGTAATGTTCCCGATAACATTAAATTGGCCGATCCACATTTTAATACGCCCCAAAAAATCGACATATTGGGCGCAACGCATTTTTATGAATTTTTATGGGACGGACAAATACGTCCTTCGGCAACCGGGCCGTTATTCCAAGAAACAGTATTTGGATGGGTAGCCGCTGGATCAATATCGGAAAATAACTTATCAAAAGCATCGATTTCGAACACATTTTTTAGCGCAACCGATAGTGAACCCACACTAGAGAACGCACTACAACGATTTTGGCTGATTGAAGACGTAAGCGATACACCACTTTATACGATCGAGGAGCGTACTTGTCAAGAATATTTTAATAATACCGTCATTAGAAATGACGAGGGACGTTTTGTGGTACACCTACCGTTTCGGGACGATTTAATAAAATTAGGAAAGTCGTACGAAATCGCAAAATGTCGCTTCTTAGCAATAGAACGTAAATTACAAAAAGATAAGAAATTAAAGGAAGAATATTTTTCCTTTATGAAAGAGTATGAGTCATTAAACCACATGGAACGGGTAGATGAGTGCGAATTTGAAAAGGAAGATCAAACGTGTTATCTGCCCCACCACGCGGGCAGAAAGGACTGTAGCACGTCTACAAAGTTGCGGGTAGTGTTCGACGCGTCTTGCAAAACAGATAACGGTATTAGTCTTAATGACGTGTTATTAAAGGGCCCGGTTATCCAAGACGATTTATTGTACATTATTTCGCGATTTCGAACTCATAATTACGTTTTAACGGCCGACATAGTTAAAATGTACCGGCAAATATTAATGACTGATAAGCATCGCGATTATCAAAGAATATTATGGCGCATGGACCCTAATCAACCTATACAAATATATCGACTGAACACGGTCACATACGGCACGGTACCTGCATCATATTTAGCGACAGGTTGTTTACGAGTACTTGCCGAAACGGTACACGAACAATACCCGTACATCACACCTATTATCAATAGAGATTTTTACATGGACGACATATTGACCGGAGCCGACACGGAACAGGAAGTAATTAAAATACGCGACGGCTTGATTATGGTTATGAACAGTGCCGGTCTAACGTTACGAAAATGGTCATCAAACGACGCAAGTTTAATAACATCAAATCTACCTATCGAAGATATAGAAATATCAAACAAACACGAACTTAATTATTCTTTGAAAAAGGTATTAGGTTTATTCTGGGATGCTACGTCAGATATTTTAAAATATAACGTGCGTGAGAGTAAAAAGGTAGAGGGGATGTCTGTTACCAAATGCGAAATGCTGTCCGATATAGCAGATATTTTCGACCCGCTAGGTTTAGTCGTTTAGTCGGCCCATTAATAGTGCGAGCAAAATTAATACTACAAGCGTTATGGCTTGAAAAGATTGATTGGGACGAACCCGTTCCAGTGAACATACGCAAACAATAGTTTGACTATAGAACACAATTATCCGCGCTAAACAGTTTATCGATACCACGCAAAATTACGAACAATTTAAAATCGTGTATTATTGAGGTCCATGGGTTTTCGGACGCTAGTACATGAGCGTATGGATGTTGTTTATATTTGAGATGTACGGACAACGCTGGCATTCACCATACTAATTTAATATGCGCAAAATCCAAAGTGGTGCCCTTGAAAACATTGTCATTACCTCGTTTAGAACTTTGTGCAACACTGTTATTAGCACGTCTAGCGAATAAATTAATACCGAAGTTACAATTAAAAATTTGTCAACAGTATTTTTGGACCGATTCAATGATAGTATTGGCATGGATCGCTTCCCCTTCGACGAAATGGAGAACGTTTGTTGCACATCGAGTAGCTGAAATACAAAGCAAAACAACAATGGGCGAATGGAAACACGTCAGTACATGCGATAACCCGGCTGACGTGATATCTAGAGGTTGCTGTCCGTCTAAGCTAATTAATTTAGATTTATGGTGGTCGGGTCCCAAGTGGTTAACTGAAGAAAAAATTAATTGGCCAGAAAGTTCAGACAACCACCGAAAATTAGACAATATTCCGGAAAGTAAAGAAAATACTATCAACGTTTTGTGTGTCATTGATCACGAGGAGTTTATGTTAAACAAATATGAATCATTGACTAAGTGTTTAAGAATGACCGCATATTGGTTACGGTTTATAAATAACGTGAGTGCACGTAAGACTAATAATATTAAATTAACAGGTTTTCTACAACCAGAAGAGTTGGAAAAAGCAACTTTGAAATTGATAAAAAACACGCAAAATATCGGTTTTGTTGACGAGCTACGGGAACTTTCGAACGGTAAGGCTGTTTCGACCCACAGCAAACTTTTTCGTCTTCAACCATTTATCGATAGTAATGGCGTCATTCGCGTTGGCGGCAGATTGAAAAACGCTGCAACAATCGATATTTTTCAACGTCACCCCATCGCATTACCCGCTAACTGTTTATTTGCGAATATGTTATTCCATGAAAAACATATGCTTCTAATGCACGGTGGACGACAGGCTTTATTATCATATAGTCGGCTTAAATATTGGCCAATTAACGGTCGAAATCTAGAGCGCAATACAGTTCACAAATGCGTAAAATGTTTTCGTAATAAACCTATTTTTGTACAACCTATTATGGGCGACTTGCCCGGTGACCGCGTGCGACCAGGATGGGCATTTTTAAAATGCGGCATAGACTTCGCCGGTCCGTTCTCAATTAAATCGAGTTCGTTACGTAAATCACCGATTATCAAAACATACGCATGTATTTCTGTGTGTTTAACGACCAAGGTCGTTCATATTGAGGCAGTTAGTGATTTAACGACGAAAGCATTCTTGAACGCGTTAAACCGTTTTTTCGATCTCCGCGGTAAGAGCATTGTTATATATAGCGATAATGCGACAAATTTCGTTGGTGCAAATAGAAAATTAAAAGAAATATATCAATTATTCCAATCGAAACAATCGCAAGAAGATTTGCAAAGAAATTTCACAAATATTGGTGTCAAGTGGCAGTTCATCTCTTCTCGTTCCCCACATTTCGGTGGACTGTGGGAGGCTGCTGTCAAATCTATGAAAATACTGTTAGGAAGGGTATTAGGCGAAGCTCACCTAACATACGAAGAATTATGTACTGTACTAACGCGCGCCGAAGCCTGCTTGAACTCGAGTCCCTTAACCACCTTATCTACTGATCCTTCTGATCCCAGCCCCCTCACACCTGGGCACTTCCTTATAGAAGATTCTCTCACCGTGGTACCAGAAGATGACTTAACCGCTATACCAGTTAATCCATTAACACGTTGGCGTAGAGTTACTCAATATTCACAACAGTTACTCGTTGGAGTAAAGAGTACTTATGTCAACTTCAAGAGAGGTCCAAATGGTCTAAGTAGGAAGGTCCGAAGCTGAATGTAGGAACAGTAGTTCTAGTGAAGGAGGACAATCTACCCCCATTGCAATGGCGATTGGGGCTAGTCGACCACATCTACCGAGGTTCCGACGGAGTCATTCGGTCAGCAGAAGTTATGTCAGCAGGCCGTAAGTTGAAAAGGGCAGTTCGAACGTTATGTCCACTTCCTTTTGAGCGTAATATTGATTAAAAACATATAAAATTGTATTAAAATGTATTTTACAATATGAAATTAAATAATGTCAGATAGTATGTGATGTTACGCTGTTACTGTGTTTTTATTTATAAATTATATATGTACGTGTTTTTTTTCACACTTTTCTATTTTATTAGCTATTCATTAATTATTAATTAAATTATTTATTTTGAATTTTGATACTATTTACGTGTTTGTCGAATATGGTTGTTCGCTAAGATTTGAAACTAACTTATTGTAATTAATATTGTAATTATTTATATATTTCTTTCTGTATATGCCTACGATATATATATAATTAGTAACTTTTTATTATTTATGTTGAAAATTAACATTTTCAATGCCGGGAGTATGTTAGCGCTCGAGTCGTGTTATCGTACGCTGTCTTCACAGAGACCTTATTTATCTCATATTTTATGTAACCAGTCGCGTATCGAAGTTTGTACCGAGCACAACGAGCGGCTCCACAGTTATTACTATATTATAAATAAAGGTATGCAGTCCACTTAAGGTCTATGTTCTTTTTCTTAAAGGTCTTAGTTCCTTCTTAAACAAACTTATCGACTGTTCGACTTTTTTCTTAGATGAAAATGTTTTTATAAATATAGGACTCGATACAGTTTCATTATTAAATTGTGTTGTTCATGTTTATGCAAATTCTCAACGCGTGAAAATGACTACCAAGTTTTTTAAATCATTAATAGGTACCTCTTCTCAATAAGAAAACATTCTTGAAGCCTAAGTATTTATACTCTGAAGAACACAAGGAAGTTACAATAGCTGAATGTAATGGATCCAACCTCTTATCAATTAGATGTCTGCTTGATGATCAGTGTATTCAGTTGAGTGAAGAAAATGCTATGCGTTTAATTCATGTAAAGGATGATATACAAGAAACTATCAAAATAAAAGTCACTGAAACACGGCCTAAAGTATTGCTCGAGGCATGTAAAATTTGTAAATTTCTCGGGACTTCAATGCCGTTTCCAAAGGATACCGAATTAAGTCATTTGGAATACTATTTGCTCCATATCGACCCATATCAGTGCCAGTTTACCGGTGTATAAGCCATGCTTTGTAGCACAATAGACACTTCATGCAACCAGTCAATTGGCAAGGGGTTAGTAAATGTTAGTTGCATCAGTCATGCCAGAGGTAATTCAAATATATTTTTATATATACTATTAATTTAAACTAAACATAACAATTGTTTTTTTTTTAGTCTGAAGTCAACAGACCTAGGACAAGGGCATAAACATCAAAAGAGAAATCTAAAGCCAGCATAAAATTAAGTTTTTTTTAATAATTGTGTGTGTGTGTAATATTATTAATAATTATTATTACTTATGTATAATAAAAATAAACAACGTGATATTTAAAAAAAGTATTTTTTATTTTACAAAATTATTTACAATTTCCTTACATCTCTATTAAATGGACTATAAGTTATAATTTGATCGTGTAAGATGAGGCAATATGCTGCAGTCTTTGCTGGAATAGCTTTGTCTGTTTCGAAGTCGATGCGTAAATCTACAGTCGATGATTTTACATTGTCGTTCTGTCGTGATAAATCCACGACTATGATTGGTACAAACCGCTGGAAAATGTTTTTTGCAAGTAGAGGCTCGCTATATTCTCTCTCGTAGTATGATTTTTGAAATTCGGCATACGCTTTGTAGCTGTAACGTTGTTTGTGAAATCTGCACGGAAATCTTCATATGGATATACTTCGGAGTTCAGGTGTACTTTCAGGTTTTTCAGGTAGCAGTGATCGAACCGTCCCGATGGATTAAATAAATCGATCCTGTAGGTATATTCACATTTACGCATTTTCCAAGTGAATCGCGAAATCCGATTGTATTACAATCAGGTTCTATGTTTGGTATAGAGTTATTTGTTTGCAGGCTTAAAAGATATAACTGTGAGGTATTTTTTATTTCTAATGGTGGGAAAATATCACATGACATTTCGCTTGAATTGCCATTTAATGTTATCGTGTATATGATAAAAATGTCAAACACAAATGTCCGCAATTATATGTGTTATAACGTTGATGCCTAGTGTAATTATATTGTATGGTACATCCACTAAGGTACGACTGTAGTTCTAATGGAGGGGGTTGATTAATAAAACTGTCGTAGTATATAACTTGTACCCATATAAAAAATAATACAGTTCATTTTTAACCATGTAAGGTGAAAGTACAGTGTGAATTAGTTATTGCCAAGGAAAACATTAAACGTAAATTCGAAGCACTGAAAAGAGGTGAAGCCGATATTCAATCTTATGTATCACAAACATTTAAACCGATAATCGAACCTCTGAAAAAATTATATGACAAATCACAAACTTCCTAAGCCGAAAATAATGAAATTTATTATGATTCAAACTTCTGTACATTTGACACTGGACGTGACAAAAATTAAGAAAGGTGGCACAAAGTATACACAAATTATTACCAAGCTGTTTTCCTCGGGAACTGGTGTGAAATTACAAACACATAATTAAGTATATTGGAATGATCCGAATGAGTTGGTTGATAGGTTATGACTTCTTTTAGCCTCTCAATCTGCGGGAAACACTGGGGTATCAAACGAGATATTATCTATTTTTGAAGAACTCCGTGGAGCTGGTATAACAAAGAAAATACCAAATGTCTAAACGTGACATAGCAATCGAACTTCACAGACCAGCTAGGAAAAATTATACAAGACGAAGAGTAAACGTGTACGGAAAAAATGATTTATGGCAGGCAGACTTGGTCGAGTTGATACCACTTTCAAAGGAAAACAATGTATATAATTATATCATCTGTGTGCTGGATTGTTTCACACGGTTCGCCTGGACTATACCATTAAAGAGAAAAACCGCGGCAAAAGTGAACAAGGCCATGTCTACAATACTTATTGATAGATCCAGACACTGCTGGAAGTAGATAACGGAAAAGAATTTTATAATTTAAAATTTGATACGTTAATGACAAAGTATAACATAAAAAAGTATAGCACATATTCTACGACGAAAGTATGTTTTGTCGAAAGGTTTAATCGCACTCTGAAAACAAACATGTATAGAGAGTTTACTGCTCGAGGTTCACATAAACGGATATCTATTTTACCCATGCTGATGGATAATTACAACAATACGAAACATGTCATTGGGATGACACCGTTGCAGGCAGAAGAAAATCCATCACTAGTCATTTTGAAACAACGTATAATCACTAATAAAAAAGTAAAATTTCGTGTTGGCGATAAAGGTCAAATAAGCACTAACAAAGGAGTTTTTACAAAAGGATATTTACCCAATTGGTCAACAGAAATATTCACCATAGTAAAAATAAACAAAACAATACCATCAACTTATCAGTTACATGGTTATAATGATGATCCAATAGCCGGGCCCGCGTAAAAATCAGGATGATAATTACCGGGACCCAAACTATTTTGGACAGAATTTATCAAGGAATAACTTTGATGAATGAATGATAAGTGTTATATAAATTGAGACAACATTTTTTTGGATTAATATTGGGAAGGATCCGTACTTTCCAGAACAGATTTTCTCAGGACAGTTTCTAATGGAATAAGTGTTATGTCTAGAAAATATTATTACAGAATGGTATTTTTTGGGATTAATATTGGGAAGGATCCGTATTTTTCAGGACAGGTTTTTTTATGGGATTAGTTAAATACCTAGAAAATATTATTACAGAATGATATTTTTTGGGATTAATATTGGGAAGGATCCGTACTTTTCAGGACAGTTTTTTCATGGGATTAGTTAAATTCCTAGAAAATATTATTACAGAATGGTATTTTTTGGGATTAATATTGGGAAGGGTCCGTACTTTTCAGGACAGTTTTTTTCATGGGATTAGTTAAATACCTAGAAAATATTATTACAGAATGGTATTTTTTGGGATTAATATTGGGAAGGATCCGTACTTTTCAGGACAGTTTTTTTACGGGATTTGTTAAATATATGGGAAAATATAATATTATTTTTACGGTAACAAGTTATTAACCAAAAATACAGCTGCTGTACATTATCATTTATTGTGATAATATTGAATACTGATAACACAAAATAAATGTATTAATCACATTAATTTACTAAAAAGTAAAGTGCCTATTAACTGTTAATTAATCGACACTAAACAGTTACACCTATAATTAGTTGTACTATATGGTTTTGATGTGTTTATTTATACTTTTATTACCTTATATAGGTAACATGTTTACTATTTTTATTTTATAGTTATAAAGTACATACCTATTTAGGTGACTTTTCTAGCATAACTTACAAGATGTTTATTTTATACCACTACAGAATCCAGTAACAGCATTATTCCTCTATTCATATTATATTATATCATTTAAAAGCAAGTATGTACATATATGGCAGGATATTAATAATTAAAGTTTGGTACACCTTATTAAATATTCTGTAAGTTGCCAGATAACTTTGTATGTTAGCACAAACACTGCTAACCGGTGGTTCATTATATTCAATGTTATTTACTCAATAAATCAACAATCATTATAAAATATTTAAAACAGATATTATTTAACCGAATTGCTCAATATTATTTATAATTGATTATTCTCTTCTGTGTGCCAAGTTATCTGACAACGACAGTGCATGCCTTAGTTATTAGCAAGGTTTATAGATTATACAGGCAAAGTAGACTATCGGGCAATGTGAACATTGCCCGGGCATTATGGTACTGCCCGATTATGGTGGGCAATGTAGGCAAAATTAGACATTGTCCAGGCTGTATAGAATTGCCCAGTCTAGTTGGGGCCATATAAACCAAAAGTTTTTATATTATAATTATAAACGTTTGTAATCTTATCGATCTTGTTAATTACTTTATTATTTGAATATTATTATTATTAACTTAAATATTTATTTTTACAATTATCATTATATTTTAGATTCTGAGCGGAGCAAGGAAGCTAGTGGTTTTACAATGGTGTTTATTTTCTTTTTTTTTTTCTTCTTTTTTTTTATATCCTGTATACAAAATTTCTACCAGAAGGAGTGCTTTGATTTCAACATATAGTACCTTATCTTTTAGCAAATTGGACCAAGATGGTACTTTAGAGAGGTCATTTTTCGATTTTCTCAATAGTTATTTAATGCCACGGGAAAAAGTACTGAAAAATTACGAAAAACCGCTTAAAATGGGATTTTAATTTCTAACAATTTGTTTATCACCGTAGCAACGAATAATAAAAATAATAATTAAATAAATAAAATAATTAATGACAATATAAAATATACAGACTGACAAACCGTCTCCGTTCAGAATCGTTTTTCTTATACAATGATATTATATCATTGAATTCAAGTTTAATACAATCCATTAAACAATGACCAACTTGTAACCTACTGTACAGCTGAGCGACATCCACTTACCTGCCTTTTTTTATTACAATTACATCAAATAATACATAAATATCATCATATTAATTATTTATTTTTGCAATTATTATTAGAATGGGCATTTCGAATTGCATATTTTCCCTTCCGCTTTACATTTACATTTTTTATTTGAACATCGTTGGGTACAATTACACATATCATACCCCTGTCCTCCTAAATTTGAATAATTCCTCTCTGCTTCTCGTAATGTAATTGTTAGATCAGGCACCTCCTCTACAGTAACCAATTTTTCTTTGCACGTAGTTAGCTGGTTACGACTATGTGTGTTCCAACTTTCCTTCAGTTAGTCCTTCGGTAGTTCCTATCTTATAGTTATCGTCATGAACTAAAATAATAAATAAAAATATTAAAATGATATGTATTAAACTTAAATGTATAATATAATTCGCTTTTTACCTGCTAGATTAACTCCAAGAATACAACGAAGGTCGCTGCGAGCTCTGTCTACATCAGGTATTTTGATTTTGACGGTTTCATCAACTTTTGCCTCACAAAATCTTTTTTCGGATGCTTCTTTCATTCGATTAGCTTGAGTTTTTAAATATACTACTGACTCTGTTCTTACAGCAGTTATTTTATTTATTCTATTATTTATTTTTTCTTCTTCATTTTTTTCTTCAATCAATGTTTCATCAACTTCACAATGATCACCAGTATTCATAGATGTAATAGCTGCCTCTAAATCTTCTTCAGTTTTTAATTTATTAATTATTAATATTAGAAGTACCGATGATTTTAATCCAATTTTAGCGCTACATCCAAACATTGCTTCATATGGACTGCATTTTATTCCATGATGTAACGATCGATTTTTCATCAATTGGATAAATTTTAGTCCTTCACTCCATTTTTTTTGTTTTATTGTCTTGTAACCAAGTGGCAAGTATGTTTTCCACATCTTGATTGGGCCTTTCGACGGACCCTTGACTTTGCGAATGTCTCGGTTTTCCGTGTACAATTTTTAAATCTTCCCACATATTACATAATTCGTTTATTATTTTATTTACGAATTCTCGGCCATTGTCACTTTGTAGAATCGCTGGTGCGCCAAATGTTGTAAAAATATCAAGAAGTACATAAGCTACTTCTTCGGCACGTTTATGCGTTAATGGGCGAAGCGAAACAAATTTTGTTAAATGGTCCTGATACACTAAAATAAATTTATAGTTTCCGTCAGGTTGTGCTTGCATATCTATAAGATCAATTTGACATCTCGAATTCAATTAATTTGAGATGATTGGTTTTACAACAAGACCTTTCTTTGCAGTACTGCCTTTTTTTTTGACAAAATATGCATAGATTTAAATATAACATAAGTAGTATATATTTGTTCCTTCTGAGCACCTTTTTTACAGGGAGATTTCTTCATTTCAAGGAGGCATTTCTACATGCTCCACCGTGTAACACATAATCTCAAAAACCCTAATGTTCCTTCTGAGCACCTTTTTTACAGGGAGATTTTTTCATTTCAAGGAAGGCATTTCTACATGCTCCACCGTGTAACACATAATCTCAAAAACCCTAATGTTCCTTCTGAGCACCTATTTTATAGGGAGATTTCATCATTTCAAGTGGGGCATTTCTACATGCTCCACCGTGTAACACAACAATTTGATAAAATATATATTATTTATTAAATATTATTTTATTTACAAATACAATTATATATTAATTCTAAACAATTATTTATGCAAGTTTTCTTACTTCTCTAGTAAAAGGTACATATTCTACAATACGATCATGAATTAATAAACAATAAGCAGTTACACCTGTAAGCGAATCTGAAGCTTCAATTTCCAATTGAACATCCACTGCTGAGGCTGTGGCTGAATCGTTCTGTTTCGAAGTATCGATAACTATAATAATTGGAGCGTTTGTCAGAAAAGTAGAAGGACTCAATATCGGGTTACGAATACTTTTTTCATAGTACGATTCTTGAAACGATGTATACATATTATATAATAAGGTGAAATTATTTTTAGTAAAATCTAAATTCAAATTATCGTATGGATAAGCTATAGAGTTCAGAAATACTTTAACGTTTGTTAAATTACAATGATCAAATATACTACAATCTTTTGTTAGCAAATTTTGAAATCCAATTATGATAAATCGTGGTTTTTCTAATTTTGAAGCAGTTTTCAAATTTTAATGCGACTTTACCTTCAGTGGCAGTCGCACCACTTTTAACTTGTAAAGCATTTAAATCACTACCCAGATAGCATTTTCGTAATGATAATATCTAATTATTATCATATCTTCATTATAAAAATAATATTATCAAATAAATATCAATACAATTTCAAATAATTATTTTGTAACATAATATTATAAAAAATTGAATAATATGACATCATAAACGAAATGATAAATTGATAATCTGAATTAATTGTCATTATATTATTAAAAACGAATTATCTAAAATATATTTTGGATATTATAATATTATGATATTATAACAGAAATAATAATATTTTAGTCTGAAAATGTGTTTAATATATTATCAAAACCGAAATACCTAAATTATATTTTGAAATTATTAATATTATAATATCATAATTGAAATAATAAACTACAGTTCTTAAAATATGATTATTTTGCTATAAAAAATAAAATGTCTAAATAATATTCTGAATTTATTAATATTATGGTATAATAATTGAAATAATAAAATATTATTCTGAACATATAATTTTTATGTTATTATAAAACAAAAATAATTATAATATAAAATATGATTTTTAATTGTACCTGAATTATATCCCAGATAGCAATAATAAGATGATATTTTATTTAGATGCGTATTTATGGGTATTACTCCATAACTTCTAATAGCCCTTCTCTACCCAGGATAAATACTATTATACTAACATAATATCCAGAATATATTGATCCAGCTATATCTAATATTATATTATCTGCTGTAGTTTTTCGTTTTTCCATTAAATATAATATAATTTTATTATAATACAATTATACTTCAATACTTGTGAAAACTCCGTCATAATCTGTCCATCTGTTTCGAAACCTTTTCTGGACAGACACAATATGAGTACATGACAAACGATAGCCGAGTATTATATTATAATATATTATTATGTGCGTGTTTCAAGCAATAAGCACGTGAATTTAATCTTATTCGTTTAATATCTATTATTATATTATATCACAGCCAGGGGCGGATCTAGAAATATGAAATGGGGGGGGGCTATAAATTGTATTACACAAAGACAAAATATACCAGACGTGTACACCAGTGTAATATATAATAATATAATTATAATATATAATATATAAGTATATACACGTCTAAAGGGAGGGGGGGCTAAAGCCCCCCCTTGGATCCGCGCCTGATCACAGCCTTTTTTTTCTTTTTTTTTTTCTGTTTTAACCGACGACGCCGCAGGATCTGCTTTCGCATTGCTTCCGCGGCGCCGCCATCGTTTATTGACGGTATCAACCCTGATCACAGCCTATAATATAATATATATACCTATACTGTAATTTAAGAACATAATATTTTCATTTGTAATAAGCCGGATTTCCACGACTGGTGTACTTGCCAAATATTCGTTTTTATTTATTATCTATGATCCTATCCCTTTAGTCATTACCTAAATTATATACATATTAGTGGAGGGTAGGTTAATGTTAGTTATTGGAGTATATGTACTTATTATATAATTAATATAATTAATAATATTATATAGGTATACATGTTATAACATATTAACATGTATACCTATATGCAATTGCAATTGCAATGTACCTACTATGTGTTATTATATATTAATATTGTGTTATTATGTATATTATTTATTTATAAGGTAGCACAGTATATAATATTATGCTATTATATAATATATATGTATACCACTGCACCTGCTATTACTCCAATGATAATAATATACCTAAATATATTACAATATAATATTGTTATTTAACCGTTATCACGGTCGCCAGTTCGACACAGGGCTAGGATCCATTCCGCGATGTTTATAATATATCTACAACAGTACAGTAGGTACCTACTGTATGTCTGTATACAGGGTGATCCATTTAAGTGGGTACACTAATTATCTCGAAAAGTATTAACTTTTTTGAATATTTTTTTTTTTAAACTTCTAGGTTTATGTTTTTCTAAAACCGTATAATATTTTAATTTTTTTCACCCTTATATTTATTAGTGAAACCACTAACAACTTTTGATTTTCAAATGGTAACATATAATAAAAATATCATGAATTAATAATACCATTTTTATTGTGAATTTACGCGTTAACATTTTTATTTTTCGATGATTCGTTTGCGAGATACAGCTCCTCAAAATATTGGTGGTTTTCAAAATATTTTCAATAATTGTAAAGACCAGGAGCTAATCATAAATTTGATATCGTTGAACCCAAGGTGACAAAATAAATAACAATTAATTATAGATTACCATTGTACTTTGAACCCTAATCATTTTTTAACTTATCGACTAATTGGACATACCGAATTACCAATGAATGATAAATAAAAACTGGAAATATATTATGACAAATTTATTTTAATCACAATTTCACAGATAATTATTTAAAAATTAAAATGGTATCACCACATAATTATATCTTATTACCACTAATGACTAAGGTATACCTTGATAAGTCCGTGACTGGTAATATGATTATAATAGTATGCAGAAAGTAAATAATAAATACCCATATTTAGGTGATAATGCACAATTGCACGATTTAAGATAGTCCTATCAATTATCTTAAATAATATTGTTCAATGTTCTGTGATATTGTGAATGATATGAATGTTGTATGATATTGTATGATATAATTTTACAGCACTATTTAAGAATTTAATTAATTAATTACCTATCTAAAATCGTGTCTTACAGTTACACTATTTGAAAATCTTATAACTTTTTTTTTTATTGTACAAAAACTAATATTAAATTAATGTAGTGATATTAATATATTATTTGATTAACAATCAAATCGGAATCCCAAGAGTCCAAGACCATTAATTAATAAGGATTTGAAAGAAAAAATGTATGAAGATCCAACTACATAAAATTCTTGGATTATTTATTTTTAATATGTGTTCAAAATGTTGACCATTTTGTGACATACAAAATGTCATACGTTTTAAGACATTTTCAGTTGTACATTTTTTCATAATATCAGCTGGTATATTTGAACAGACTTCTGTAATTTTTTTTATCAGCTCATTTTTACTGGATGGCATTATATCTTTAAACAGCATTCTTCACAAATCCCCCCCAACAAAAAAAAACCCAAAGGTGTCACGTCTGGACTACGTGCTGGCCATTGAATTTTCTGGACTTCGGGTACCCATCCAGTTATCTTAAAAATACAATTTAAATTAAATGTAATACTTATTTGTATAAATTGTATCCATAACATATTGGGTTAATGTAAATAAATACCTATATGAATATAAATGAGAAGAAAATTGTGTAACTTTAAATATTATATGTATAATATTAAAATTTTTATAAGTAGCAATCAAACAAAATATGATGATAATGATAATTACCTCCGTAAATGTTGTTTAAATAGTCCTGAACCTGCCGGCAGTTATGGGCCGGAGCACCATCTTGTAAGCTTATGTAAGAATAGGATCTCTAGGTGGGGCTATTCGTTTGAAAACCAAAATTTTTTTTTTCTCACTGAAGGTATACCTTGATCCTTAATTAACTTACTGTTACCTATTTTTTCAGTTAAATTGGTTATAATAACCAAAATATTGGTTGTATTTGAAAATGTATACCTATTTTTTAAATTGTCAAATAAAAATCAATTACAAAAAAATATAGTATAATAAAAATCAATAGGTATGGTACAGTTTTAAAGTTTACAATACAGTATACACACATATAAATACTAAACAAATAAACACCAATATCTTATAAAAATAAATTATTGAGTTTGATGTCTTATAATACTGTCCAGTACAAAATTTGAAGACAATAATTTTTAAATTGATTTTGTGGTTTAAACGATATTTCGATATGTACAATTATACTTAATAGCTTTAAAACATAGTAAGCGACTAATAAAAAATTACATAGTAAATGATACAATTTTTTTTAATCACACAATATAATACAGGTATATGCTGACATTAATTTCAGATGGTTTATGATAAATTGACTAGGCTCATTACCCATTTGTAA